AGAGTTGTTGAAAGAGAGCTTCTTGGTCCAAGTTGAAGCAGTTGATGAAACTGTAATCGACTTTCGGGACTTCATTATCTGGAACAGAAGAGGAAGCCTCCTCGGGGACTGGTAACTTTGTGTCAATATTGTCTGCTTCGATTGCCAAACCACTTGGATAGCCAGTCAAATCAACTCCAGCTAGTGCCCCACAATATGAAAAGTTAACCAACTCGAGATGTTTCAGTTTAGAAATGTTTAGATATACATATTCTAACTTACTGCATCTTTGCATCACTAGGTACTTGAGCTTAGAGAAATTCTCAATCCACTGAGGAACCTCTTCTATTGCTGTTTCTTCAAGATAGAGCGATGAGATGTTTCTTGAAATATCAGGGAAGGTCCTTAACCGCGAGCATCCATTGAGATTGAGGCGTTCGAGAGATTCAAGGTTGATTCCAGTTGGAAGAGTCACCAGATTTGCGCATCGCGTAATTCTCAAATCTGTCAGTTTATTGAGATTCTGAATAGAGAAGGGAAGCTCAACCATATTTGGGATATCCGAGAGAAACAACACCGTCAAAGAATCAGGCAGCGTCATTACCCTTCGTATAAGCGGCTGAACCAAAAACAAGTTAGAGAAGTTAAACAATATTACCTCAAATGAAGTCCATTTTCCTCCAATATATAAATCTACTTCTTCTGTTTCATAACAATAGTTCTTCTACATTTATCACATATTGATTTTAGTTTTGAATAGTAAGTAAATTGAAAACCATTGACCCTGCCATTGCACTGGATTGATCTTCCTACATTTGAAAATACTGCTAGCTAACATCCAACGCAAGATATAAATGTCAATAACCATAATAGATTAATAGTACTTGAACAATAGTTTAGCCCCTAAACAAACTAACACAACACTTATCAAACTCAACCAAGCCATAATGATTTCTTATAGAAGCGTTATTAAAGGAGGTTGAGAAAACATTAATTTTTGAATTACATACCTGCATTCCTTGCCGTAGTTTCTCACCCTTTATGTTTCCCATGCGAAAGTCAAAAAGATTCCTGAGCCAAACTTGAGAACGCTCCGTGAGACTGAGGCTTTTGGGAGATTCGAGGTTAATGTCAGTTGGAAGCGTAGCCAGATTTCTGCATTCTAACATTCCCAACTCTGTCAGTTCATTGAATGTTCGTATAGAGGAAGGAAGCGCCACCCAACTCAAACAATACCCAAGATAAAGTTTCTCTAGATTGGTGGCCATTGAAAGATCTGGGATTTCTTTTAGGTTTTCAGATCCCCATAAGTTAATCTCCCTGAGACATGCAAGCATCTGTACTCAACAGGAAAAGACAGTGCAAAGTAGAAGTTACACATCACGTGACAAAATTGTTATCCAAAAAGTACAAGAATTTTCCATTCTAATCTAGCCACTAATGACATATATAATAGTTTAGCATCATAACTTACCCGAGTTCCTTCCCACAACTTTTTGAGATTACTATTCTCCATTTTCAGCTTGACGAGGTTTTCAGGATGAAAGTTAGAAGGCATACTTTTCATTGGATATCCGTCCCAACACAATAATTTGAGTTTAGGGGGCAAATAGTCGAAGCTATCAGGTAAGTGCTGTCTGACCTTTTTCTCAAGCATGTATTTATTTGAGAAAATTTTAAGGAAACGGAGATTATGCATCCTTTTGAAGGCATTCTCATGTACATGCAACTCATCGATCTCATCCATATTTAAAGATATACCTAAAACATTACTAGTACCCTGAAAATTATAATATCAATAAGAAAGAGTCAAAGAGATAATCATTAGCTTAACAACCACCTACAACATACTTTTAATCTAGTGAGATCATCTATGAAATGACACGAAGAACTTACAGTGTCATATTCAAGGACATGGCATATATCCTCTGGATTCAAAAGAAATTCCCGTTCTGCAGGATTCTCGGACTGTGCATAGACGATCTCCTTACCCAGTTTTTGTAACGAAGTGTGCATCTCGACAATATTCAAACTTACACGTATGAGAGACTTATCAACAAGGATTTTTAACCCAATATTAACATCCAAGTAACTATCTGCAAGCAGCAGCTTAATGTCATCTACTTTCTCGAAATTGAAGAGACATGCGATGTGGCGAAATAGTGCTTGCTCTTTTCTACTACTTAACCCATCATAGCCTATTCTTAGTATCTTCTCAATTTCCCCATCTAGAACACTCCTAATACGTGGCAACATATCCATCCAGTACTCCTTATCCCTCCCCCTCAAAGACGAACCCAAAACATTAAGACCCAAAGGAAGACTACCCGCATTTTGCACAACTTCAATTGCAAGCTTCTCAAAACCTTCTGGTGGAGAATTTTGCCTGAAAGCAGAACGACATAACATTTTAAGAGCAAGCTCTTCAGATGGGAGACCAACCTCATATATAGAATCAACCCCATGTGCCCTTAAAAGATTCATATCTGTTGTAACCAGAATGATTCTGCTCCCACTTCCAAACCATAGAGTTTCACGAACCAAGGCATCTAGCACCAATTGATCATCCAAATCATCAATAAAAATAAGAACTTTCCGGTGCTTTAGCCTCTCTCTCAGTGCACCTAAATTATCTATCTTTATGTCCTTTTTATCTAATAATTTAGAGAGAAGCCTTTCTTGCAAGTGCAACTTCATGCTATAGTCGTTGCCGCTGTAAAGTTCCATACTCTGAGATATGAAAGGCCTGTCTATGAAAATGCTGCATTGAAATCCATGAGAGTGTTGACTGTGTAAAGCTCTTGCAATGGTAGTCTTGCCAATTCCCGAGGGCCCCCAGATCCCAACCATCCTCACTTGCTCAGATTCCAAATCCAACAATAAATTCATCTTTGTGATATGATCATCGAGGCCAGCAAAGTCCTCAAAATCATTTGATGGAGTTGAATTCAATCCACTCAAAATATCATTGATGATACTTTCAATCATTGGAGCGTCGCTATCCCTAAGGAGAAGAAAGATCAATGCGCAAATATGAAACAACAAATAATGTCATTTATTCAAGATATATAAACACAAGCAAAGATTCATAATTTGTACCAGTTCTGAGAATGATATCCAACGAGATTTGCTACATCGGTCAACGCTTTCTCCCATTGATTTTTCACGTCCTTTGTTTTGTTCTTGCACGTCTCTTGAAATTTCTTTCCAAAGTCTCCCGTCTGTTTCCTCACATGGGAAGGATCCAAATTGTAGAAAACTGGCATCACAATTTGACCCAACTCTTCCTTGCATTTCACGATCTCAAGCAGCTCGTTTAGGCACCAGCTTGAAGAGGCGTAGTTTTTGGAGAACACGACCACCGCGATCCTCGAATTCTTGATTGCTTGTACAAGCTCGGGATCAAGCGACTGGCCTCTTTTGATCTCATTGTCTTTGAAAGCGATGATCAATTTCCGATCGAGCTCCTTGAGAAAGTGGCTGAGGAAGTTTTTGCGGATATCTTCCCCGCTGAAGCTCGGGAAGACGTCGTAAAGCCAATTGCGAGAAGAGGATGAAGAAGAAGACGAAGGAGCCATATAGAAGGACAAGGAAACTAACTTTCAGAAGAAGGAGGACTTAGTGATTTCTGAGAAGAAAATCAGAGGAGAAAGTAGTAATGTAGCATAGCCTCGCTTTCGTCGTGACTAACAAGCAATTTCACCGTTGTTTCTCAGATTTTTCTAATGCAAGTTGAGAGAGGTTTCCCATTTGTTGACTTAATCTTTTATTCTTTTTAGCCTCTTGCCTTACAGACTGTGAGCATTTCCAACGAGGTTTCTATAGCATGTCTAAAGAATTAAAAAAGAAAAAATAATTAAAAATAAGAGAGAGAACGAGACACTGTGTCTCATTTGAGAAACTGTGAGACACGGTGTAATACTTGGCATCATTTGATTGGTTAAAGTTTTTTTTAACTAATTAAAATTTAAACAAATAATTTATTTATTACAAAAGTATTAAATTATTATATTTGAGAAACTTCTATGGTTTCTCACTGTTGGAGATGCTCTAATATATATGGTGGATTGGTTTGAGGACTATTAAATTTATTCGTGGGATGAATAATGTTGTTACACTTTTTTTGAAAATTTAAATTGTGTAGGCAGAGTTATAATTTATTTTTAGAATTCGATTATATATATATATATTTATATATATATATATATATGTTACTAGATAAACTTTTGGGTTTTTGGGTGTTCCTTGTTTTTTTTGCCGGTATGGTTTTGTTTGCGTGATGAAAATTTCTCGGCTTTGTTTATCTCTTGTTTTTTCTAATGATTTTAATAGTCAACTTTCGCTGGATTTGGTTTCAGTTGATGTTGTATGGTTTTAATATTTTAATATCTTACAAAAACTTCGACTGAGTAATATATCTCTTTAAAGAAAAGAGAAATACCCTAGTTTATTATAAGTATTATTATGACAATCCAAAATAATTTGAAAATAAGATCAAATAAAAATGATAGAAGGATCATAATTTTAAATTTTACAAAAATAATAACTAAAAATAAATAATATGGTATAATTTATACCAAAAATTGATATACATTTTAAAAACATTATTACACAAGGACTTTCTTACATTAAAATGAGCAAATACTACCAACGACAATAAAGATAATCTGATTTTGATGATATTTTTTCAGACATGTTGAATCAACAAAAAAAAAAACATTGGAGGCTATAAATTCATGCTTATCTTGGTTTGCGATGACTCGAGATAGACTTGAAGAACATCATTTGCTCAGTCTTTGGCTCTGAATATGCAAACTTTTGTCTGAAACAGAGACATCCATCTTGGAACACATGTGATGTATTAAACAAGTATCAATAACTGGCTGAACATTTTGTAATAGACACTAACAAGCCTAAAGGCTGTAATTATGCAATCTCTATTCTACAAAAGAAGCCTACTGATTTTAATTCATTTGTGTTTGACGATCCTACTGATTTTAGCATCAGGGTTTAGAGAGAAACAATCCAATGTGAACTTATTCTATAGATTGCTTTTCCGCATTACTCTTGGAAAATAAACACATAACACAGAGAATGTTAAGTTCATGATTACCTGCTTTCGATTCCTTCTTCCCTCCGTCTCTACACCATTCTCTCCTCACTCTTCATTCTCATTCCCACTCACAAAATCTTTTGTTGACAAAAAATTAATCTTTTCCATATTCTCTGCTCTCACGAATGTCTCCCTTCCTAGCTTCTTCATTAGATCTTACAACGATGCTTGCAACTTCAATAATCTATAACAGTTGTAGCATAGCATGATAAGTCCACAGTCATAGTTTCTGTTTCACAAAAATATTTCATAGGTACTTATTAAAAAGACGCCTGTGAGTCACAGGCTGTGACGCGATTTATGTGTAACTAAGATAAGATGGTCTATGAGATTCTTGGGTTACCTTATATAAGGTGGAAGTTTCACGAAGAAGGAATATTGTAGGGGGAGGTCACACATGAACCTAATAGGAGATATCCTTTTATGTATCTTGCGAATTGGCTGTCTAGCGATTCAGTACTTTCTTCAGTAGTCTCCTCCTCATCTGCAGAAAACATCCAGTCAACTATAAGGTATAATAGTTTTCTGTTTGTCCTGACAATATAGTATGGGATATTAATAGTTATCTACGTACAAATCTATTCTAAATGCTTACCATACGCATCTTAGTCCGCATTTTAGTTCGGAAACTCCTCTCTACAGCGCTATCTTCACAAACATCTGGAAGAATATTTGGACTGCAAGGTTGGTTATCCAGGGATGGAAAATCTTCAGAAAGTAGAATACCGCATCCTTTTAATTTGAGCTGAGAGTTGCTATTCGTGAGACGAAACTGTATATCCACGTGATTGTAGTTGAATTGACCATCCAGAAAAGTAGTAGTGTCTTCGTTTAAGGGAAAACAACAGTCAAAGATAACCAGATGAGCACCCAAATTTGTTGTTCTGAAGTATCCTGGAAAATCAGTAGAATCAACGTGGTTCCCGAGTCTGTCTATGCACCGACAACATACTTCAATGTCGAATGAAACAGAGATTGTGGAAAAAGATTCGACATCAATCACGGTGCAACCCCTAAAACTGAAGAATGATTGGCAGACAGAGATGTGAGGTAGAGAGATAGAGCTCCCAGTGGTACGGTGAGCGAAATATGAAGGCACTTCTCCACCTAATAGTATCAGTTGCATGGAAAATGTTTGGTTTTGAATAAGAGCTTTTAGATCTAAGTTGGAGCAGTTGATGAAGTTGAGCTTGACCGTTGAGAAATAATCAGGTGGAAGAAATTTGGCCATCTCACTTGAACTACCATTCCAGCTAGCTTCAGTCAATGCCACACAGTCTGAAAAGTCAGCTCCCTCGAGATGTTTCAGTTTAGAAATATTTGTGGATACACGTAGTAAATTGCTGCATCCATTCATATCTAGGTTACAGAGGAGAGATAATTTCTCGATCCACGAAGGAACCTCTTCGATCGCTGTGTAGCTTAGTTTGAGATCTGAGATGTTGGTCGAGATATCAGGAAAAATCCTCAACTGAGAACAATGAGAGAGATCAAGTGCAATGAGAGACTCGAGGTTTATTCCAGTGGGAAGAGTCACCAGATTTCTGCAGTTCATAATTTCCAAATGCTCAAGTTGATTGAGATTCTGAATTGAAGAAGGGACTTCCACCAAACTTTGGTTGTTCGAAAAAGTCAACCTCGTCAGAGTGGGAGAAAGCATGGTCATGAGAGGTGTACGCAGCTAAACCAAAAAATGAAAACAAAAGAGAAACAATTTAGAGATGTTAAAACTCATTTGCAAATATCAGAAATAACTATTTCGTGTAACTTCTCATCTGCAAACTGTCTTTCAAGTTTGACACTCTCTAATTGAAAATAACTTTCCTTCATCAATTTGCATCCTTTGATTGTTGTTTAATTATATTTTTACATACGATCTATATTAATATTGCAATTAGAAAACAGATAACTAGTAAAACTCATAAGGAATATTTCAAGAAATTCGACCTAGTTTGTTATATAAGTGTTAGTTAAATGTTAGCAAACGTAAATACCTGCACTCTTTCGCACAATATAAGCTCATCGAAATTCTGTAGACGCAAATTAGAGGGAATTTCCGCTGTTTGGCCTATATCAAGCCATGAGATGTTGGTTGATATATCAAGAAAACTTTTCAACCGTGAGCATCCACTGAGATTGAGACGGTACAGAGATTTGAGGTTAACTCCAGTGGGAATAGTCTCCAAATGATCGCAGTATGAAATGTCCAAATCATTCAGCTTAGTCAGGTACTGAATAGATGAAGGAAGTTCCACCAAACTCGAGCAACTGCTGAGTTTAAGTGTCTCGAGATTAGTGGCCATCGAAAGATCTGGGATTTCTTTCAGGTTTCTAGATCCCCGTAAATCCATATTCCTGAGCCCTGCAAGTGACTGGATTATATGCAACTAAGTTACACATTACTTGAAAGGATGGTCATCTATATCGATATTAATTCTAGTAGTACTAAACTTACATGAACTCCTTCCCACAACTTCTCAAGTTTGCTCTGCTGCATTTGAAGCTTAACCAGGTTTTCAGGATGAAAGTTAGAAGGAAGACGTTTCAATGGGTATCTGTCAAACCTCAATAATCTAAGTTTAGAGGGCAAATAGTTGAAGCGTTCCGGTAAGTGCCATCTAACTTCTTTCTTCTGGTCCAATTTCTTAGTATAAATTTTTAGAAAAAGGAGATTGTGCATTCCTTTGAAGGAACTCTCATGTATATGCAGTTCATCAGTCTCATCTATATCCAATGTTATGCCTAAAACCTTCTTAGTACCCTATAATTATAATAACAAAAAAGAGACAAAACCAATTAGTTACAATTCTTCATATATGAAATGACATGCATTTAATCATAGCGTGAGATTATGCAAAAAAAGCAGGAAAAAACTTACAGTGTTATCTTCAAGTACATCGCAAATATCCTTCAAATCCACAAGGAATTCCCGTTCTCCAGGCTCAACGGACTGAGTACGGACAATATCCTTACCCATTTCTTGTAGCAAAGAGTGCATCTCCACAGTATTGAATCTTTCACAGATAAGGGATCTATCAACAAGGTTTTTGAGCCCGATATTAACATCCAAGTTACTATTTGCTAGTAACAGTTTGATGTCACTAACTTTCTCACCATTGAATATACATGCAATGTGACGAAATATTGCTTCATCTTTTCTGTTATTTAACCCATCATAGCTGACTCTTAGTGTTTTCCCAATTTTTCCATCCAAACCTTGAAGCCTTGGCAGCATATCTATCCAGTACCCTTTGTCCCTGCCCCGTAAATTTGAACCCAATACGTTCAGACCCAAAGGAAGATTACCAGCACGCAATGTGACTTCAGAAGAAAGCTCCATAAAGCCATCAGGAGGAGAACTCTTCCTAAAAGCAGAACGACAAAACATCTCAAGAGCGACCGCATTAGATGGGAGACAGACCTTGTAAATGTGATCAATCCCATTGGCCCTTAAAAAATGCTTATTTTTTGTAACCACAATGATTCTACTCCCACTTCCAAACCATTGAGTTCGACCCGCTAAAGCATCTAGCACATCTTGATCATCTAAATCATCAATAACGATGAGAGATTTCCGGTGCTTTACCATCTTTTCCATTGCACCTATATGATCTATCTTTATGTCCTTTTTGTCAAAAATTTCAGCTAGAAAGGCTCTTTGCAAGTGCAACTTCATGTTATAGTCAACAAGATTAGCTCCACTGTAAACTTCCATACTCTTAGATATGAAAACCCTGTCAATGAAAACACTACTTTGAAACTGACAAGAGAGTTGACTAAATAGAGCTCTTGCAATGGTAGTTTTGCCAATTCCCGAGGGACCCCATATCCCGACCATCCTCACTTCCTCGGATTCCAAGTGCAGCAATGAACTCATCTTTGTGATATGATCTTCAATTCCGACCAAGTCCTCAAAATCATTTGATGGAGACAAATTCATTTTACCCAAAATATCATTGGCGATTTCTTTGATCATGCTTGCTTCGTTATCCCTAATTAGGAAACAGACCATTTCACAACCATGTTTGCTAAACAACAAGTAATAATGTTCGCTAAATAACAATAAATGATTCATAAAGTCGTACCAGGTAACAATATGATATCCAAGGATATTAGCTACATCGGTCAAAACTTCCTTCCATCGGATTTTCTCGTCCACTGTTTTATTTCGGCATGTCTTTTCAAAGATCTTCCCAAAGTCTCCGGTCTGTTTCCTCACATGGGATGGATCCAAATGGTAGAAAATGGGTATCACAAGTTGGCCAAACTCTTTCTTGCATTTCACAATCTCCAGTAGCTCGTTAAGGCACCAGCTTGAAGAGGCATAGGTTTTGGAGAACACAACCACCGCAATTCTCGAATTTCTAATCCCATGTTTGAGCTCGGGATCGAGTGACTGGCTTCTCTCGATCTCATTGTCTTTGAAAGAGATGATCAGTTTCCTATCCAGTTCTTTTAGAAAGTGGCTGAGGAATGTGTTGCGGACATCTTCTCCACTGAAGCTCGGGAAAACGTCATATGACCAATTGCGAGAAGAGGAGGAAGAAGAAGAAGCCATAAAGAGAGGTGATTCTGGAGAAATTCAGAGTTGAAGTGAGGGCTCGCGTGGTTGTTAAGAAACCCTATAAATTGCAGTAGCTGGTGCCTAGCAATTGCATCATTGTTTCTTGGAATTTTCCTCTTTTGGACTGGTTCTTGACTTGACTTAATCACCACCACACAAGCCAAAACCCTGTTTCTATTATTACATTAATATCTGATTATTTTTTGTAAGATCAGATATCAATGTAATTTCCCAAGTCACTTTCCACATCACAAGTCAAAGTTTGAAATTTTCCAAGTCACTTTTCTACCAATAATCCCCGCAAGAACACATCCCATTCTTGAAATGATGAAACCGAGTCGGATCCCTTAAAACAATCTTACGTCCCACAACTCTGGAGATTAACTTAATCACTGTGTGACAATCTTCACAAACTCGTAGATTTTTCATCACTGTCACTGTACTTCCTTCAACTGTATTAATCAACCCAAACGCAATAGCAAGCCTCTCACTGTGATACCACAACATCTCTTCTTTCTGTTCATCTTCAACATCATGTAAAGCAGATCTATAATCAGGAACATAGCCCAGTTCCTTCAACTTCTCTCTCAGAAACTCCAACTTCTCAAATATTCTCAAGCAATGTGGACGATCACCGGAGAAAAACTCGTGCTTTTTCCCTCTAATCACTACCCAACTGCTCCCGGGTTTCTTCATAATCCCCTTCTGCTTCATCTTAACTCGCAATTTCGATACATTCGACCATCTACCAGCAGAAGCATATATATTTGACAACAAGACATAAGCAGCGCTAGATTTTGAGTCCAGATTAAAAATGGCTGCAGCAGCTTTCTCGCCTCTATCTACATCAGAATGCATCCTACAAGCACTAAGTAAAGCCAACCAAACCATTTCATTAGGTTTCACAACCATGCTCTCGATAAGTTTTTCTGCTTCTTTCAATTCCCCGCATCTTCCCAAGATATCAACCATACAAGTGTAGTGTTGAATCTTTCTATCGATATGATTTAGTCCGCTTGACATGTAATAGAACAGCTTTCTTCCTTTCTGTAGGAACCCGCAATGGCTACAAGCAGAGAGCAAGCCAGTGAAAGTTATCTCATCTGGCTCTTTGTTTAGGCGAATCATTTGACCAAATATGACAAACGCCCACTTTCCACGCCCATGCTGTGCGCAGCCAACAATAATGGAATTCCATGACACAATGCTCTTCTTGAAGATTTCTGTGAACACTGAAACGGCATCGTTAACGTTTCCAGAATCGCTGTACATCACAACAAGAGAATTACCCACAAAGGCATCAGTTCCTAAACCGAGCTTCACAGCAACTCCATGTATCTCCTTACCCCAATCCAATGTTCCCAAAGCAGAGCAAGAGTTTAATCCGCTAGCAAATGTTGATTGATTTGGTAAGATACCGTTTCTCATCATCTCGGAGAAAACATTTAACGCATCTTCATGCTTTCTGTTCAGACTATACCCTGACAATAGAGCAGTCCACACAGCAACTTGTTCCTGAACCTTCTCGTCAAACACCTTCCGAGAATCCTCTGTTCTTTTGCAGTTTGCATAAAAAGTTATGAGCGAAGCAGATACATATTCTTCATATAAAAACCCCGTCTTGATGATCAAGCCATGAACTTGTATCCCCATATGAAACGCTGGAGAATTCGCGCAGGCGGTGATTACACAAGTGAATGTTCTGGAAGTCGATTTTATGCAACAACCCAACATGTTCTTGAACAAAACGAGAGCTTCTCCGGTCCACCCATTCTGGTCTAAACCACAGATCATTGTCGTCCACGAAATCACATTCTTCCGAGGCATTTGCTTAAACAACTTCAAGGCATCGTCTACTTTAGCAAACTGTAAATACCCATGAACCATCGCATTCCACGCTGCAATATCTTTCACAGGTATTTGATAAAACAATCTCTCTGCTTGATCAACCATACCAAACCTAAAACACCCATTTACCATCGCTGTCCATGAAACAACGCTTCTCTCAGGCATTTCATCGAACATCTTCACTGCAGTATCTATATCACCACACTCCACACAACCACTGATCATCGAATTCCACGAAACAACATCTCTCACAGGCATTTCGTCGAACAGATTCAACGCATCAACCAATCTATTACTCCTCGTGTATCCCGTAATCATCTTGGTGTAAAGGCTCACATGCGGAGATGGAACCTGATTGAAAATCTCTCGTGCCTCGTCGAGTCTTCGATTCAACAAGTGATTACATATCAAAACTTCGCGATTCTGAAACTCCACAATAACTGAGAAATTTCTGTAGCATTTCCCATGGATAACGTGAGATATAGAGAAAGCTCGAAACCTGAATCGTTGAAAAATGGCACGACTCCACATTTCCTACAACGGTCACATCAAAACAATCGCAAAGCCACACTCAACGTAGCTTCGTGTATAGCATCGGAAAAGGCTCTTGTTAAAGTTCCAGAGTCAACAAAAAGTTTTGAACTTTCCGACAAAATTGGCTTCGCGATTTTGAAGCTTCTGGACCGGTTAAAATTAAGTATTACCGGTTTAGTAAGGACTGGGACAATGTAGGTAAACGAGGATCCTCTAACTATATAACAAACTCTACTAACTTGAATAACAGAAAATTTTATCCACATTTCATTCTTTGATTCCTTCGTTTTTCATAGCTTCTCATATCTCGATTCTCAGATTACTCCTGTCTGCAATGTTTGAGCTCGTTCTTCAGTTGAAAGATCTCCAGCGCCTCGCGATTCTCTGCAACCTCCGACTTTTGAATCCATGGATAGCATTCTTCTCTCTACTTCTTGACGAGGTGGTGACAATCCGGGATTATCAATCACCAATGAAGTTCTTGAACCTGTTGTGCATCATGAGTAACTGTTGCAGTTCTCAAATTTTACTCAGGTTTTCTTAAACTCTCTCTTTCTCAAGATTTTTCATTCATTCTTCCGTTTATTACAAGGACACACACAGACACATACTTATACAAGTTTTATTTCACTAGCTAGTAGCTACTCACTTACCCTTACTCTCTCATCTTACTTCTACAATCTAGATTCACTTACACAAGCAATCCACTCCATCATTAGACTCCAACCACTCTTAACACCCTCTTCTAACTTAGTACTTAGCTTAGACAACAACACACTCTTTCTTTTCATTTGGGCCTTAGTTTATTCGGAGCCCATTACTAAAAACAACCCTAAGCCCATAATCCTTTTGTTGACTTTTCTTCTTCTTCTTTGACTCCCTTCTTCTTCGACGCTTTTCTTCTTCTTCAACCAAGTTTCTTCTTCTTCTCCTCACTGTAATTCTTTTGATTCTTAATCATCTTCTCTTTCTCAATTGCAGGTTCAATCGGAGACTCAACCTTCAACAGTAACTCGAGCTCAGTGGCGTTGTGAACAGCAATTTTCTTGAATCCATTGGGAAGATAGTGGCAGGTTTTCTTGTCAGACCCGTAACCAACATTGGGCATCAAGGTGACACCTTTGAACTTTTTTCTCACCCGGGACTCAATACCATTTGGTCTTCTCCAGCTTTCCTGAACAATAAAAAACAAAAAAGAGTTGGAGACAAAAGAACTACTAAACAATATAATTCAACATTTTGTTAGAGAATCAAAATAGATCTCTATTTCTTGTTCCGTCTAGAACGAGCCAAAAGATGTTTGATTCTCTAACAAAATACTTCAGGACCTTTTTCGTGAGCAACCGGACCGCCATTTTTACTACCCAGTTGTGTATTTTTGACAGGTATTTGATAAAGCAAATGACGAAACAGAGTAAGTTTTTGCTGTCAAAGTTTCTGGAAGAAGCAAAGTAAACCTTGCATTGGACGGTTCCATCCCAACCCTATCAGATTCTCCAGATGTGTTCCCTTCACATTGTCTACAAAAAATTTCCAGTTGTCACATTTTTTATAAAAAAGTTTCTGATACTTTTGAAGAATTTACTGCTATTTTGATGCTTACCTTGATTTTCTTCCTGTTTATCTCTGTCTTTACACCACTGTCTCTTCTCTGTGATCAGATTCTGATAAGTTTGAAGATGTGATCTCTCTTCTCTCTTATCTCTTCTCAATGTACGATAGAATCTGAATATGATATCTCTTATTCTCAATACCAACTGTTCGTACAAGTAGAGCTCTAGAGCATCATCTTCTCTAGCTCACTACCCTCAAATCCCACGCAGGAGAAGTTGTACAACAATCACCATGCCCGATCTCTAAACAATGATATCAGTATTTAAACCCCAAAAGCTGTAAACAAGTTTGTCACCGATATTTTTTGAGAACTAAAAAATATCTTCTTCTTCAAGTAAGCTTCCTTCTCACGTGCCTCCTCACTTGCACGTGTCTTCTTCTGCCTCTTATGAACTTATCAGATTCACTGCCAAGATCGCTATCGTTACAGTCTTCCCACTCTTCACTGCAATCAATGTCATTGCCTAGATCACTATCGGCTTCAGAGAGTCTTAGACCACATCCTATTAGTTTGAGCTCATCGTCGTCTTGAGTTAAGTGAAATTGTATATCCACGTGATCGTAGATAAGTTCAGCTAGAGGAGCATTGTCTTCGTTAAGAGGGAAACAGCAGTCATATATAACCATATGACTACCCTTCTCAAGTACCGCGAAGACCTCGTGTTGATAAGGGGGCTCAAAATAGTTCCCGAGTCTGCCTGTGAACCGACAAGATACCTGGACCTGGAATATACTACCTAAGTCAATAGATTCAGTATCAACCAAGGCGCAAGCCCTAAATCTGAAGAATGGTTGAGAAGGAGAGATGTGAAGAAGAGGGATATTGGTCAGCGAGGTTCCAGTAGTTCGGTGAGTGAAATATGAAAGCATTTCTCCACCTGACAAGATTAGTTGCTTGAAAATTGATTGTTGCAGAAGGAGAGCTTTTTGATCCAAGTTGAAGCAGTTTCTGAATTTGATACAGACAGGTAACTTAGAGTGAATATTTTCTGTTGCCATTGCCACAGCACTTGGAATGTTATCCCAACTAGCATGAGACAATGCCTCACAGTCTGAAAAGTCTACCGTCTCAAGTTTTTCCAGTTTAGAAATGTTTAGGGATACACCTTGTAAATTGTTGCATCCAATCATACTTAGGGAAGAGAGCCTACAGAAATCCTCGATCCACCAAGGAACCTCTTCAATCCCTGTTCCATCTAGAACTAGCGAAAATATGTTGGTTGAGATATCAGGAAAACTCCTCAACCGTGAGCATCCAGAAAAATCAAGATGTTCGAGTGATTTGAGGTTGACTCCAGTGGGAAGAGTCTCCAGATTTGTGCATCGTGCAATGTTCAAATGCTCAAGATTATGGAGATTCTGAAATGAAGAAGGAAGCTCCACCAAACTTGGGATATCCGAGAGAAACAGCTTCGTCAAAGAGGGAGACAGCATGGTCATGAGCGGTGTAAGTGGCTGAACCAAAAAAAATTAGAGATGCCAAGATAAGAGGTGAGTTTAGAAAAAGATATGAAGAAAACATTAGAATAAGAACATACCTGCACTCTTTTCCACAATTTCTCACTCTTCATGTCATACAAGCCAAGATAATCGAGATTCTCTAAATGCAACTCAGTGGGAAATTCTTCTATGGCTGTTTCGCTTAAATAGAGAAATGAGATAGTTGTTGAGAGATCTGGAAAACTCCTCAACTTTGAGCATCCATTGAGATTGAGGCAATAAAGAGATTCGAGGTTGATTCCAATGGGAAGAGTCTCCAAATTTTCGCAAAGTTCCATCTGCAATTCCTCTAATTGATTAAGATATTGAATTGTGGAAGGAAGCTCCACTAAACTTGAGCAATAGCTAATATCAAGTTTCTTGAGGTTAGTGGCCATAGAAAGATCTGGGATTTCTTTCAGGTTTTTAGATCCCCGCAAATCCATATTCCTGAGCCCTGTAAGTGACTGAAGTATAGGTAAGTTACACAACACTTGAAAGGAGTAACATTTAATGTTTAAAATAAGCATTCTAAAAACTTACATGAACTCCATCCCACAACTTTTCGAGTTTGCTCTCACACATTTGAAGCTTAACAAGGTTTTCGGGACGAAAGTTAGAAGGCATACATCTCAACGGGTATTTTTCCCAACTCAGTAATCTGAGCTTAGGGGGTAAATGATCGAAACCTTCAGATAAGTGCCATCTTACATCTTTCTTCTGTTTAGTGTAAAAATTTATAAACATGAGATTACGCATCCCTTTGAAGGAACTCTCATGTATATACAGTCCATCAGTCTCGTTAATATCCAGTGCTATACCTAAGACTTTTTTAGTACCCTGGAATTATAAGATCAATAAAAAGAGAAAAAATTTAGCTAAACAAACACCTTACAATTCTTCGTTTATCAAATGACATGCTTTTGGTCTTATAGAGTGAGATTTATGAAAAGAGCATGAAACTTACAGTGTTATCTTCAAGTACATCACAGATATGCTTCGAATCCACAAGGAATTCCCGTTCGCCAGGCTCATTTGACTGTGCACGGACAATCTCCTTACCCATATTTTGTAGCAAACGGTGCATCTCAATAGTATCCTCTCTTACAAATACGAGAGACTTATCAACAAGGTTTTTTAACCCAATATTAACATCCAAGTCACTATCTGCTAGAAGCAACTTGATGTCATTTACTTTCTCACCATTGAAAAGACAAGCAATGTGACGAAATATTGCTTCATCCTTTTTGTTATTTAATCCATCGTAGCTGACTCTTAGTGTCTTCTCAATTTTCCCATCCAAATCATTTCGAAGCCTCGGCATCATATCCATCCAGTCCTCTTTGTCCCTACCCCGTAGATACGAACCCAAAACCTTAAGACCCAAAGGAAGATTACCGGCACGCCATGCAACTTCAGAAGAAAGCTCCATAAAACCATCAGGTGGAGAATTCTTCCTGAAAGCATATCGACAAAACATCTCAAGAGCGAGTTCTTCAGATGGGAGACAGGCCTCGTAAACGTGATCAATCCCATGGGCCCTTAAAAAATGCTTATTTTTTGTAACCACAATGATTCTACTTCCACTTCCAAACCATTGAGTTCTACCCACTAAGGCATCTAGCACATCTTGATCATCCAAATCATCAATAATGATAAGAACTTTTTGATGCTTTAGCCTTTCTTCCATTGCACCGATCTTCATGTTCTTTTTGTCCAAAATTTCAAACAGGAAATTTTCTCGCAAACGCAACTTCATGTTATAGTCATCTGGATTGGCTCGACCGTAACCTTCCATACTCTTAGATATGAAAGCCCTGTCTATGTAAACACTACTTTGGAACTGACTAGAGAGATTACTAAATAAAGCTCTTGCAATGGTAGTCTTGCCAATTCCCGAGGTACCCCATATCCCAACCATCTTCACTTCGTCAGATTCCAAATGCAACAACAATCTCACCTTCGCAATATGATCTTTGATGCCAACAAAGTCCTCAAAATCATTTGATGGAGTTAAATTCAGTTTACCTAAAATATGACTGGAGATTTCTTCAATCATTGTAGCTTCGCTATTGCTAACGAGAAGAAAAATCAATGCATAAACATGAAACAAATATCAGTGATCACACCTCACGTTGAAACATTTATTCAAGACAGCTTTTAAACACATACCAGTTCTTAGAATGATATCCGAGGATGTTTGAAACATCAGTCAACGCTTGCTTCCACAGATTTTTCGCTTCCTCAGTTTGGTTCTGGCATGTCTTTTTAAATGCCTCTCCAAACTCTCCCGACTGTTTTCGAAGATGAGAAGGATCCAAATAGTAGAAGATTGGTATCACTTGTTGGCCCAAATCTTTATTGCATCGCATAATCTCCAACAGCTCATTTAGACACCAGCTTGAAGAGGCGTAGTTTTTAGAGAACACAATCACTGCAATCCTTGAATCTTTAATCGCCTGTACAAGCTCTGGGGCTATTGACTGGCTTCTCTCCATCTCATTGTCTTTGAAAGTAATGATCGATTTCCGTTCCAGCTCTCTGAGAAAGTGACTGAGGAATGTTTTGCGGACATCTTCTCCACTGAAGCTTGGGAAAACATCATAGGACCAATTGCGAGAAGAGGAGGAAGAAGAAGCCATTAAGAGAGGAGGAAACAAATGTTAGACGTTTCTGGGAAAAAAGATCAGAGGAGAAGTGATTTGCCCATATATAACTTAGCAGCAGCAGAGTGGTGACTAGCAATTCCACAAGTGGTTCTAAGACTTTTCTGCCAACTTGACAGAAGGTTCCTCCTTTGGAGTACATCGTGACTTTACCACCACCACACAACTCACAATAACTTTATAGCCTCTTACCCTCTCATCCTCACATCAAAAGTCAAACTTCAAAACTTTCTCAAGTACTTTTCTACCAATAACCACAAGAAAAAATCCCATTCATAAAGATGATGAAACAGAGTCGAATCTCTAAAAATAATGTCACATCCCACAACTCTTAAGATCAGCTTAATCACTGTGTGACAATCCAGTGCCGGCTCAGAATATGGGGCGGGCGGTGCGACGGCCAGGGGTCCAATCCTGTGTTCTAATAATTAAGGGCCCATTTTTTAAAATATTTTTACAAAAGTATTAAAAAAAATAGATTACAACATAAAAATAAAATTTATAATGGCCCAAAAAAAATTTATTTACTGTTTTTAAGTTTTAATAATTAAATATTTATTAAAAATATCACAAAAAAAAATTTTATAACACAAAAACACTAAAAAAAGAAAATTCTAAGGGCCCAAAATGTTTTTTGCCCTAGGGCCCATGAAAGTATTGAGCCGGCACTGTGACAATCATCAAAACCACAGTGACTATATTTCCTTCAACTATACTAACCAACCCTAGCAAGCCTCTCACTACGACATCACAACACCTCTTTTTTCTGTCAACCCTCAACATATCTTTTTCTTCCCAATATATACCTTACAAGCGATTTGGTCCTGTTGACATGTAAGCAAAAAGCTTTCTTCCTCTTTGTAGAAACCCACAATGGATACGAGCAGAGAGCAAGCCAGTGAAAGTGATCTCGTCTGGCTCTTTGTTTAAGCGAATCATTTGACCAAATATGACAAACGCCCATGCTGCGCACAGCAACAACAATAATTGAATTCCACGAGTCCAAATTTCTATGAACACCGAAAGGGCATTGTTAATGCTTCCACAATCCCTGTACATATCAAAAACCAGAGAATTACCCACAAAGGAATCGACCCTTGAACCAAGCTTCACAGCAACTCCATTCATCGCCTTACATCTCTCACAGGCATTTCGTCGAACAGATTCAAGGCATCAACTACTTTATTGTTCCTCGTGTATCCCAAATTCATCTTGAGATTCTCTGGAGCCTCATCGAGCCCTTCTGTTCAACAATTACATATCAAAACTTTGCGATTCTGAAACTCCTTCGCAAATTCTGAAACTCCTGCACCATTTCTCATGGACAACGTGAGAACTGAAACGCGAAATGGAGTGTCTCACTGTCTGTCCTAATTTTGTTACACTTGGCAGTAACTAGAGTTTTGAACTTTATTTCACCTCGAGGGTCTGACAAAATTTGGAATAAATTGATGAATCGATTCATATTTTACGTTGAAAATCTGAGATTGTGTCTGATTCTGAATTTATCATCATAA